CCGTGGCCTGCGGTGACCACGGAGGCTGGCATTGGAGGCACGAACAAGAGAAAACTGCCTCTTCAGCTGTTGACATGTCTTGGGATCACAGGTACGCAGGAGCGCTTTCACCGGCATGGGACCATTAAGGACTTGCCGACTTTGCCTCAACGGTGATCCCGAAGACATATTGACAGCTCGTGAGGTTGCCAAATACGGGAGTGGACACCCTTGCCGAGCGGCGGGGGCATTCTTCATACCACTCGCGTATTTGGCAGCCTCATGAGCTGTCCACATAATGTACATGTCTTCGGGATCACCGTTGAGGCCCATCTACAACACCACTTTTTGACATCTGCGATGACCTTCGACGCAACCGACGTTCGCCATCTTTAGGTTCATGCGATACCCCTATGCACCCAGAGGAAAATCTGTTCTCTATGGGGAAGTCGAACGCCGCATGCCGTAAAAGTGGAAGTTTGGCCTACTACTTACCCGGCAGTGGCCTTGCGACTGCAGTGCTTGCGATATTACGCGACGGGCGTTTCCTTTTCACAAGTGTAGTACAAGTATGTGGATGGTCGTAGGTCGAGACCCGGAAAGTGATAATTATTATGAACAGGCATATTAACCCTAGGACGGCCACCACTTTCAGTACTCCTAGAACAGCCAAACGGTGTCATTTGACACCTTCATACATTTCCATGTCTAAGACCTATGATATAGGTTATTATAGTTGTTGTTTTCAGTGCTGGCTATCACTAGCGGCATTTATGATGTACACGACACTTTAGGATTCACCCAGACACTATTGTTGGCTATACGCAACTAAAATTCGATGTACGCGTAACGGCAATTGCGAAGGATGAACTCAATTACTGGCCAAACTTCAATTACTTGCATAGGAATGTCTTATAATCACAGAGTTACAATAACAAGCAATGTGTCAACGTCACTGGGCACATGAGGAACTGCTTTTCGGGAATATGTGCTTTGGCATAATCGGATTACTCGACCGTCACGATGAATGACACACAGTAACAAGTACAAACATGGACTGACTATGAGCATCATTTTTTCACCAAGCTGACACGTATGCTGCTAGACATGGTTTCAAGATTAGGCTAGTAAAGACTGCATTTTAGACTCTTTCAAAGAGGTATACCCTTCTCTTCTCCTTGGCTGGCACATAGCAACCAGATGCCATGACTATCTACAAGCTTATTGACCAGTGCAGGAATGACCGTTTTCTGGATGTGCATGAACTAGCAAAGGTCTGGGACACTGTGAAGGCGTTGATGCCTGTCACATCTATTCATTTATGTAACCGCCTTGCAAGGGGACATCTTCTGGAATAGTCTTTGCTGAGTAGATCCACCACATTCGATCGAAATGGTCAAGGACATATCTCGTCTTTTGCTAGAATTGGATGATGTGAGGCTTCCTACTCTCACCCTGTAAAACATATGGCTCTAGGTGGTCTATACTAGGCGGACCATTGTTAATTCTTGCTACTTCTACCTTCTACGTCTACCGTCTTTGCATCCTACAATGTAATCTTGAAAAACAAAATGCAATCCGCGATTATGGGCAATGAAGTTAGATGGTAGTTCACTTCAATTTACCAAAGTGGTTTATACTGCAACTCTTTCTTCTCCAACAGTTTCTTGACCAGTAATGCACTGATGATGAAGTTATCATCAGTTATTACTTAGCAATCACCTTCTGCAGCACCCGGGGCCACTAAAGAGAGAGAAGGCATCCCAGCGGCAGCCTACCTGTTTAGCCTGAAGCGGGGGAGGAAGAGGTTTGGTTCAAGAGCCTTATTAGCTCGTCAAGTAGTTAGAAAGGATTATCTACACAGCACCGTCCTTGCGATAATGCGGTGTACCATCTCCAGGTTACAGAGTTGCGATTCCTCTTCCTCAACACCATCCATTTCGGGGTCTCCACCACTCCTGCAACTGTTTCTGACAATTCCTTGTCTGGACTACCCCGCAATCCTCGTCCGCTCTCTTGAGGCTCGTAAACCTCATTACATACTGAATCCACAGGTACTCAGGTGTTGTGACCGTGCGATTCGCCCTCATATTACAGAACAGATCCACCACTGCCAATTGTCACTTCACTTGAACAGCCATAAAATGAAGATAAAGTGGGCAATTTCGCTTTCATGGTCATCAGATGCATGCGTGGTAATAGGCTACATCCGTTCTAGTATTTCCTTGGCCGTAAGACCACGATGGCTCCTCTGGTGCAATTTGCCGGAAAATGAAAGGGATTGAGCAGTATCAAGGACATTAGCTGAAGAGTGTTTGTGTAATCTGTGCACTAATGGTTACCCGCCCCATATTCGCGATTCTCGCCCGACGGTTGTATGTTGATCATATTATTTTGTCCTGTATTCAGCGATTTTCCTGCCCATGCACCTTTCTTTTGTCTGGTTGGCATACGAGCAACTCGATATGGCCGACACCTTCGAAATGTGTTCATATTGTTTCCATCTAGCTGCAATACTGGC